CCCTACCACTTTTATTTTTATTTTGTTATGTATTTTTGATTTTATAATTACGTAATAATAATTATTATTAGTTTATATTAAATTACTGTACTTAAGAACTATATAAATGATAAAATAATTTTAATTCAATTTTATAATTTTAATAAAAAATCAGTTACTAAAAATGAGAAATATAGAGAGTTATTATTAAAAAAATAAAATTACGAAAACTTAAAATTTAATAAAATACATGAATAATCACACAACACAAATAACAAAACACACATAACATAATTAGTACAATAAGCTTTCATAAACTTAGAAATATATTTAACCACGAAACATTCTGAATTTTTGCCATATGTGTTTGACAAGATCTACTTGCAATTCGTGATGCACATTTGAATCCCGTAACTCAGATCTGGCACGCACATGATTTTCAAATGCAGTTAGCGCTTCGGTTGAGAATGGTTGTGGTGCATTAGATCCACTAGCCTCAGATTGATGATATTCGGTCCAGTGTTGAGCATATGTATCTTGTTCATCCTCAACAATAATATTATGCAATATGATACATGACCTCATTATGATAGCTAAATCGGAAATATCCCACAAGCGAGCTGGTTCGCGAATGATTTTAAATCGAGCTTGCAGTACTCTGAATGCACGTTCAATGTCCTTCTGACATCCCTCCTGAACTTGTGCAAATAACTTATCTGGTTCACTTTGAGGAAGCCTAATCGATTTGACGAAAGTAGGATAAGAAGGATAAATACCGTCAGCTAGATAAAACGGCATATTGTAAGGTCGCCGGTTCACGAAGAAGTTCACTCTTGGAGTATTTCCTAGTTCGACATCATCAAACACTGGTGAACGATCTAGAACGTTGATATCGTTCAATGTGCCTGGACATCCAAAAAAGGCATGCCAGATCCATAGATCACGGGTTACGACCGCTTCAAGAATAATAGTGGTAGTTCCCTTTTCTCCCCGAGTATATTGTCCTTCCCACGCTTTAGGACAATTTTTCCATTCCCAGTGCATGCAATCAATACTCCCATTCATTCCCGGGAACCCTCGCATTTCACTAACATGCAAAATTCTTTGCAGGTCATCTTCTGTTGGGGCTCTGAGATACACTTGCTCGTACAGCTGTATGATTCCTTGTAGAACCTACGCAAGCACTCCAAAGCTGTTGTACCTCCAATTTTGATGTATTCGTCAACCACGTCAGCCGCCATATCATATGCTAACATCCGCATGGCTGTGCTACATGTCGCTAATGGAGATATACCTACTTTATTAGCTGCGTCAAATCGTTGAGTGAAGTAATCATCACTTCTTGATAGGTCTCCTACGATTCGGAGAAAAACATGTTTTCGCATCCAAAATCGCCGACGAAACATTGCATCATCATATGTAGGTTGATTGGAAAAGTAGTCTTCAATCAATCTTTGATTTCCCGCTGCATGATCTCTCTTGTGGTATCTTCTCTTGCTGCGAGGTGGATCGTCTTCTTCTATTTTCTTTCGACACTCCCTAAACTGGTTGAGGATATACCTTTCTTCAATTTCAGATTGTTTTTTTGTAAGCTTCGATATCAAAAAGAAGTTCTGATGGATCCATATCAAAAGGAATTTCTGATGGATCCATTGTAGTATTGGTATATCAATGAAAAAATGAGACCATATTTATAAGACAGAGGAACCGTGTAGATTAAGTAGTTGGAGGATAAGATTTTTGCATTGAAGAAAAAGTCATGGGCACTTGTATTATTAAATTATGTTGAGTGGTTGGAAGATAAGATTCTGCCATTTAAAGCCGAAATTGATGGATAATATTGATGGAAGAGCCACGGGCACTCGACAGCATTATTAAATCATGTTGAGTAGTTGGGAGATAAATTTAGCCAAAATGGACAAATATCATTGATGGAAAGGTCACGGGCACTCGAAAATATATTATTAATTCATAACATGACAATATATTATTAAAGCATCAACTGACAACAACATTATTAAAGAAGAAAGTGACAAACAAGCATTATGAAAGCATGAAATGGCATGTTACGGACAAGCATGGAGTGGTATGATGCAGACAACCACTTGTGACTACAATTATTTTCAAATAATTCGTTGTTCAACTGTTGGAACATCTCTTTGCTCTGGTCATTGAGATGTTCTTTTTCACTTAGCTTTAGCCACATCTTCATCTTTTTAGCCCGAGTTTTTTCTTTCATAAATTTGTTTGCCTCCTTTTGCCTTTGGATTGCCTCCTTTCGCCTTTGATTTGCCTTTTCTTGCAACATGGCTAACTTTTCTAAGCGTTCAAACTCTTGAGTCTTGATTTGTTGAATTCATTAAAAATCTTCATTGACCACTTCCAAAGCTGCACCCTTACCTTTCTTTTTTGCTTTTTTTCTTAGCTGCATCTCTCCCCATTGGACGTGCAGTGGATCCTACAGAGTTAGAGTCACTAGTGTCACCTTCGTGGGCTCTCTTAGATCCACTGCTTACAGAATCACTATTCCCTCTTATCTGAGAACCATAACGTGGTTGATCACGGACAGCTATCCATTCTTTCATTAAATTAAAATTTCTGGTACCACCACCTGAATATATTTCTTGCGCTTTCACCAATACATCTTGCTCTGACCACCCACTTTGTTGCATACACTTAGCGTTATCGTAAGCGCCAATCCATTTTCCTAATTTTTGGTCAATGTAGTTGTAATAATTCCTGCACGAAACTCCACCACGCGGAGGATCAAATGAGTAATGCTCATTACAATATTCAGAAATTTTACACCGATTCGCTCGTCTGCTTTCTTCCAACAACGCTGTTTGTTCCGTATTTGATCTACCCACTCAGTAGCACAAAATTTTTTTCGGTGGTCCATTTGACGCTTTTTCGGGTAGCTGAAGGGGTTGAATTGTCAGCACATGGACTGTCTTCATTAACACCACCTACACCACCAAGAGTCATTTGTGTAGAAAATTCGAAAAATTCAGTTGCTCCAACATCTGGAGCAATTTCATTACCTGTCGAAGTAGAAGAAAAATTGGGTGGTTGAGATGAAAATGACGTCGCCGAACCATAATATGGATGATAGCTGGGAATAGCTGACGGCATGAAGAAACTTGGTGAAAAACCATAATTTGGTATGTTTTGGGGTTGGTTTGAAGATTTATTTTGAAATGGATAGTTGTTGGGATTTGGATAGTTGAAAGGATAGTTTGAAGAGTTTTGAGTATTATTAGAAATGTTTTTGTTGGGATCCATTTTTCAATGAAGATACGAAAATATAAAAATGAGAGTTTAGAGAGGTTAAAGATGATTTTTTTTTTCTGTGTCCAAATCTAATGAAGCAAGTCTCTATTTATAGAATATGAAAAATGATGAATTTTGATAATTTTTTTAAAGTAGTTTTATATACAATAACTGAATCAAATAATGTAGAGAATGGAAAAAAAGCAGCATAGAAAAAAAAACATGGCCGCCCACTTTTTCTTCTCTCGAATGAGGAGCTGCCACGTCACACACTCTCTGCTCTTCATCATAAATTCAACTCGTTTAATTGTTTCAACTAGTTGAAAGCCACCTCATTTTAAACACATAATTCAACACTGCACTACACACTCCCAACTGTTTAAATTTCATTTTCAACACCCCATTGCACTTAGTCTTATAGTAATAAGTTTCACCCGAAGCATGTTTTGATAAAACAACATTTTTTCCATATACAAAATAGTACAATAATTTACAAAGAAACACTTGAGACGAAGTCTGAACATCAAGCAAACTTCGAGGGAAGTCTTCCTTCATAAATTTATAGTTACAAAGGTAACTTAAAAGTAGAATCATGAAATATGCTCGAGGAGACGCTTTAGTAGGTTTTTCTAAGAAATCTCCTTAGGGAGACTTCAAACGAATCATCCCTTGTTTATTTTGGTAAATTTGTATTTTCTTCATATTTATAATAAAATTCCAAGAATTACTTGTTCCTCCATGTATATTTTTAAATTACCTTGCTGCGGAATGAATTATATAAGAATGTATTATAATTATGAAATAATAAAATATCTTGTTTCACTTACTTCTAGTTATTATGTGGAGCTTTAGGTGAAGTCTTCTCTCATTTTTATTTTGAACATGATCTATTTATTTTTGCTAATGTAGTTAATATGTTTTAGAGAACATAATTCCTCTATATGTAAATTACTGGATCATACTCTTCTAAATTGTGTAAAATATTCATCTCTTTGAAAAATCTCATATATAGTTTTTTTAAAGAAGTCTGCTATAAGAGTACGATCTGTTGTTATGTTGAAACTCTACCAGTGGTTTAACATAGTCTGCTATAGAAGCATGAACTTTTGTATTATTGAACTTTCGTCTCAACTATGTAAGCTATGAAAATCAATAGAAATGGGTTATGGTATGCAAACCTGGTCCAAACATCACAAATTTTGCTTATGGCACCAAGAAATATAAAATATATAAATAATATAAATTTGTAATGTAACAATTTAAACTATATATAGTTCATATGATCTACTCAGCTGCTTTTGTGGCCAACGCTGTGGGCCTGGCAGACTGGGCATGGTGGTCTAGAGTGAAAGGTTTTGATATTGGCAGAGAAGAGACATTTCCGCTTGTATATGTTTGTGTGCACACTACAAGGTGAGTTCATTTACTTCTTAGAATTTTCAAAAAAAAATTGAAGTATTGATGTGTTGAAAGGGTGATGTCAAAAGAGTTCACTCGTTGTATGATACTATGGAGTGATATCGATGGATATTTTCAAAAGATATGAGATTGGGATGGGAACTATGATGGCGAGGTACTATTATACATAAATCATTTTTTATGTTAACAAATTAAAACCACATATTTTTTATGTGTGTTTTAGCAAAGTTTTATTGAAGTGAGACATGCATGAAACAAGATGTGAAAGGGTAAATAATTTTATGAGATCTAAATATAACTTGAAGAAGATATTAGCAGACATGAGTAGGATTTCAGTCTTTCAAACATTTCAGCAGCTTCATGAGTGCTTCCTAAAAGAAGATGATCCAAATAAATAGAAAATGAAAATGTAATTTACCTCTAATTCATTGTGTTGTACAAATCAATACTATAACCACAATTTTTTTTGTGGGTATTGTATTGCTTAAGATCGGTTACCATAAACAAACCTTAAACTAAAACATAAAGATTATTAATTTAAAATATTGATTAGATTTTTATTTGTAATTGAAAGATGGAAATTACAACACAACATATGGAACGATGAGAATCAAGTTGAATATAATAGTTACGGATTGGTTTAATGCACATGCGACGGCGGAAAAGACTTCTGTGTGTAGATGTAATCGATGTGAGCATCCAACTTCATTTTCATCAAACATTCTTCCGTTTTACATTTTTTTTTCATATCCTTCAAACAATTAAAAATGATTTTGTTAATTTTTCAATTCATGTATCAAAAGTTATCACTATATCATTCTTTTATACAGCCACTAAGGAAAAAAGTATATGTGTATGTAAGAAAGGTGATACTAAATGATAGAAAGTGATGCACATATAATGAAGGAACTACTTTAACCTCATGCAGTTTTGGAGGAGGTGATTGTGTATAGATGTAGTCAAGATGAGCATCTGATGTCGATTTCACCAAACAATCCTCTGTTTCACATTTTGTTTCCATCTCCTACAACAATTAAAATGATTTTTTTGTCACAATTTATATTTCAAAGGTATTTAGTTTATTAATCATTTTATTAGTCACCAATGGAAAACATTAATATATTAATGTGAGATATTTATTACTAAATGATAAAAATAAATTTATAAATAATTAGCGAATTACTTTAGTTATATTTACTTTTGGAGGATGCGATTGGGTATAGATGTAATCAAGATGAGCATTCAATGTCGATTTTATCAAAGAGTCATCCGTTTCATAGTTCTTTTCCGTCTCCTTCATACAATCATAATAAGCTTTAGTAATCAACTATGTGATAAACCAAAAAAAAATTGTTATATGAAGTATACAAGTAAAATTTACAAAGTCTTATATGATAAACATACACATGATTATTCCTCTATTTTATTTTGGTTTTGTGATCAAATAAGTTTTATAAATGTAAATAAATTTCAAATCTAAGAGATGAATATTAACCGTAAGCTTTCTTTGGAGGGCTGAGTCCAGACGAGCAACCGAAGTAATAACCATAAAACTAAGTAAAAGGATTGCAGCGATTGGAATGTTAGTCTTTGACATTGCTTTGTTGTTGTTAATATTTTCTTCCTCTCTCCCTTTTATGTTTTGTTTGGTTTGTGATATAGTTTATTGAACAATACATGAGGAGAATCAAATTTATAAGGCACATTCAGAAATGAAATATACACATTCCTTATTAGTTGGGTGGTTAAAATGGTTACAAATCTTTCAAATTTTAGTGAATGCACATATTAATATTTAATATTTATTAGTTCATTTTTTTTATAAAAGAACCTCTTAAAATGACATATTTATTGGTTTTATCCTAGAAATGCGGGTTAACCACATTATCCTTGACCATTTTCTCTCACTATCTGTTTGCTCTCCTTACCCCTTAGCCCCGCTCTCCCCTTGCAACTCGTTGTCCCTTTCTCATATTCCTCGCCCACTTAGCCTTCTCGCCTCCATCTCTCCAAGTGGCGGAGCTAGGTGGTGGGCAGGGGGGGGGGGTCAGCTGACTCTTGTGATTTTTGGGGAAAAAAATAAATTTTACTTATGTATATTAGGTAGTTGTTAGAATATTTGGTCAAAAATCACTAATTTGACCCCACAACCAAATATCAATTAGGTAGTTATTAGAATATTTGGTTAAAAATCACTAAGTTGACCCCTATAATCCAAGATTAATTATTATTTTTGACCCATCTTTATAACCTCATAATAATATTACATAACTAATTTAGTAAAAATCACTAATTTTAACATTTGGTTAAAAATCACTAATTTGACCCCCATAACCCAAAATCAATTATTTTTTTGACACATAATAATATTACATAACTAATTTAGTAAATGACCGCTATGAAATTTGATGTGATGCTGGCTCCACCACTGATATCCCCTACCCCTTTGCTCCTCCTCACCCAAAACATTCTTGCCCATGTCTCCATTTTATCATAACAAGTTTCTAATCACACGTTTTGGGGACAATATTCAGATATTAATTTCTCTCATAAAAATAGTCAATACGTGAGTCAAAACAGTTAATATTGAGAACAAATAATTTTTCACCAAAAATAATTTTCATGATTTTGTAAAACAGTACATAACCGCAACTCAAAATAAAATGATGAAATTAGGGAAAAATTGTAAAACACCTACAATGACACACAACAAAAAAACAGTCAACAATCAATCTAAATATTAAATAAGCCCAGATAAATGAGTTATTTTCCAAAAAAAACAAGAAAGTTGACTGGATCTAATCCGGAGCTCCATGTTAGATAGAGGTTGAATCCAACCCAATATTTGTGTTTCAATTCTACAGTGAGCCAGAGTGCCACCTTTAGGTTTTCCAAGTACAAGGAAACATGAAAACAGTGGTGTTCACTTGCAAGTTTACCACAAGGAGCTCCAGTTATATCGATCAGAATTTTATTCACAGGTTAAGCTCAACAAGAAGTTGCATATCGAAAAAAGAAAAACCGTCGAAAGGGAGAAAATTTTGGTCCATACGGTCCATGATCTCTCCAGATCACCCATAGCAATGGCTTCCATGGTTGTCGGACGTTCCAACCTCGTTAGCCATGACTTATTCTCCGACCTGGAGGTTGCACATAGAAGTTGTGGGGACTACTAGAGGCATGGCGTGAAGTTGATTACTCTGGTAAACTCAATTACTGTTTGAGCTCTTTAAGAAGGAATTTCCACTGTTTTTTCTGCATCGTCGTCTAGCAGTTTGAAAAATGGCGTGATTTTTGTTATCAACGCCACTGGAAAGACAAGCATGTTAGCTTCTACGCCGGCACCGAGTCCTCAGTGAATATGTGATCTCGTATCCGGATCCAGTGTAAGGTCATATCATCTTACATTAAGTAGTCCGGTTTATATCGGTTTTACACATTAATTTATGTTGAATTGTATTTTAGTTTCATCTGGTTATGAGGTATAAATATCATGCATTGTACACTTTAATCAGTTGAGAAATCAGAAACAGTTTGGCAAATATCTCGATTCAGTTTAACTATTATGGTATCAGAGCAATACGTCCAGCTCTCTCTCTCTCTCTCTCTCTCTCTCTCTCTCTCTCTCTCTTTCTCTCTCTACCTATCTCTACCTATCTATGATTTTTCACCACGCTTTGATCAGTTCTTTGTTTTTTCTTCACATTCTAGCTTTGATTATTCTCATTATCGATTCTCTTAGCTTTATTCTCTACTCCACAAGCACAATTTGAAAAATTATGGGGAAACAAGCTAGAAAAGAAAGAATTCGGAGCTAGACATCTGAAGAACATGTATCTAAAGATCGTTTTCGTTATGTGACACTGATTCTTGAAGAACCTGAAAACGTGAATCCTAAACCACAATCCAATCGAAGAAAAATTCAATGTGAAGACTCTGGACCGAATCCGATGCAAGCTGAATCGTTCGATAGGACTCATAGCCCGTTCTTCTTACATTATGTGGATCGTCCAGGTTTTTCTATTGTCTCTCATGATCTTGATGGAACAAACTATAATATGTGGTCGATTTCTATGCATATTAGTTTGGATGCAAAGAAGTAAGCTTGGATTTTTTGATGGATCACTCATTAGGCCTTTTACCGATGATAGGATTTATAAGATTTGGAGTACAAGCAACAGCATGGTTAAATATTGGTTGTTGAATGTGGTGAAGAAGGGGATTTATGATAGTATTATGTATTATGATGATGATGCTGAGATGTGGGAAGATCTGTTTAGAAGGTTTAAGGTCAATAATCTTCCACAGAGATATCAACTTGGACAAGCTGTAATGAGTCTTAAACAAGGAAGCTTTGATTTTTCAACTTATTTTACGAAGAATAATACGTTATGGGAACAGTTGGCTAACACCAAGAGTCAGCGTATGATTAGGATTGATACTAAACACATCAGACATCCAATAGGTTTTCAGGTGCAAAACATAGCTCCAGACAAAACTAACATTTTGCTGGCTAAAGGTTCATCTCATAAATCAAAATGATCTCAATGCAGTCTTCTTGGTCATACCGTTGACAAATGTTATGAGTTCACGGATTCCCTATTGGTCATCCTCAGCAATTCAAGAACAATAAGATTGATGGTTCCACTAATGTTGCAGCATCTTCACCAAAATTCAAATGGAACCAATCAAGAATCCTGATGAATATATGTCCAATGATCAAATTCACCACATGACTGCTTACATGAGTTCAAAGCTTCAGGCTCTGAGTATGACAAGACTTGTGCCAATATTCAAGCTCCTAGTCTGGTGTCTGAAAGTAACTTTGCTTCAACTTCAACTTATGTACCAAATATTTCTCAGATTAACAGCACTTTCCTCACTTTCAAATCTTGTCATTATAACATGTTGACCTCTTCTATACCTCTGGAAACATGTCTCTTAGATCTTTGGTTATAGATTCAGGGGCTAGTCACCATGTTACACATGATAGATCTTTACTCATAGAATACAAATCTTTAGTTCATACCTATGTGACTTTGTTGAATGGTCTTACTGTCCAAATCGAAGGAATTGGTTTGATCCAATTAACTGATGCTCTGTCTTTTCATAGTGTTCATTCCTTTTTAAATTCAATTCTTGAGTGTTAGTGTGTTTACTAAGACTCTCAATGCTGAAGTTAGGTTTAATGCATCTACTTGTATGATTCAGGATCTTACAAAGGAGTCGATGATTGGTCACGGTAATGAAGTCAAAAACTTATATGTACTTGATCTTTCTAGCTCGCATTGTGATATGTCTTTTACAAGTATGTCTAATGTGTGTGTTAGTTTTATTGTTAATCCAAATACTTGGCATAGACATTTAGGTCATCCTTCAATGTCAAATATTGAAATGTTATATAACGTTTTACCTATTAATAAAATGACTTCTAAACTTCATATCTTTCAAAAACCGTAACAACATTTGTGAAAAAGCATTGAACTTGTTCATATAGATACATGGGGACCTTTCTCAGTTCCTACAGTTGATAGTTTCAAATATTTTTGTAAAATTGTTGATGATTTCAGTAAAGCTATTTTCCTGGTTTTGTTCAAATGGTTGAAACTCAGTACAAGACTAAAGTTTTCTATATTAGATCTGATAATGCACATGAACTGAAATTTAATAATTTGTGTTCGCATAAAGGCATTAAGACGTTTCACTCATGTCTTGAAACACCAGAACATAACTCTCTTCTAGAGAGAAAGCATCTTCTTAATGTAGCTAGAATCTTAATGTTTCAATCAGGTATGTCTTTAGATTACTAGAGAGATTGTATATTGACTGCCGTGTCTTGATAAATATAGTTCCATCTTCAGATATAGGAAATCATTCGCCCTATGAAAAACTTACGTCTAAAGCACCTGAATGACCTTTGGTTGTCTTTGTTATGTATTGACATCACCTAAGAGTATGACTAAGTTCGATCCTAGAGCAAAAGTGTGTGTTTTATTATGCTACTCTGCAGGATATAAGAGATATTAGCTGTTAGATATAGAGACTAATATTGTTTCGATTTATCAACATGCTATCTTTCACGAGGATATTTTTCCCTTCTTATCTTCAACTCTCTCTGAAGATATGAAGAATTTCTTTCCTCGCATTCCTTCCCCTCATATTTTACATGACAAGATGTCTTTTGTGCAGTCATTTTATGATGCTCATTATACTTGTAATGAGTCATCTTCTGAGAACTTAGCTCATTTTGAGTCTAAGTCTCAACGTAAAAGAAATCACATATTCACTTCAAAGACTTTCATTGTTATAATAATAATAGTAATACTACTCATACTATTTTCCATATCCACTTACCAAATATATTTCTTGTTCCAAATTATATGAGCCTTTTCAAGCTTTCATCAATTCCATTACCAAACTACCCATACCAATGAGCTATGCTGAAGCAAAGAAAGACAAAGTATGGTGTAATTCCATGGGCTTGGAAATTGATGCATTTCAAAGGACTGAGACATGGAGTATAACAGAATTACCTCCTAGTAAGAATACTGTGGGATGTAAATGGGTTCATACTATTAAGTATAATGAAAATGTGACTATTGAGAGACAAAATCTCGACTTGTGGAAAAACGGCTATACACAGTAAGAAGGTTAGACTTTATGGATACGTTTTCTTCAGTTGTTAAGATGGCCACAGTGAACATCATCTTATCTTTGGCTCCTAAACTCAAGTGGTCTTTACATCAACTGGATATATCCAATGCATTTCTTAATGGTGATCTTTATGAAGAAATATATATGAAATTTCCACCAGTGTATGCTGTGATTAAGGGGGAAACTGTTTCTCCAATAGTTGTGTGTAAACTTCATAAGTTCATTTACGGATTGAAGCAAGTTTCCAGAAAATGGTTCAATATTTTTCCTATAACTTTAACCAGTTTGGGGTTTCAGAAGTGTTTTGGTGATCATACCATGTTTGTCAAACGTCTTGACAACAAGTTTATGGTATGATTGGTGTATGTGGATGATATTTTGATCGCAAGTACATATGATGACTTGGTTTCAGAACTGAAGTTACATCTGAGTTCAGCATTCAAACTCCGTGATCTTGGAACTCCAAAGTATTTTATTGGTTTGGAAATGGTTCCTTTTGAAGAAGGTATTTCCATTTTCCGAAGAAAGTATGTCTTGAATTTCCTAGAAACCACTTGTGTTACAGGTTGTAAACCATTTTCTATTCTAATGACAAAACAGAAACTCTCAACCAAAGATGGTATTCTTTTGGATGATTCTAAACAACATAGAAAAGTGGTTGGGAAGCTTCAATATAAAACTTATACTCGACCAGATATCTTGTTTGATGTATCGAAGTTAGCTCAATTCTCTTCTGCTCCAACTGATGCTCACCTCCAAGCTATACACAAGGTGTTGCAGTACTTAAATGGCACTGTTGGACATGGCTTATTCTATGGATCTGAAGCTAATTTCGACATCAGAGGATATTCTAATTCCGATTGAAATCCTTGTCCTGATTCTCAAATATCAGTCTGGTTTAACGATGTTCATTGGTGATTTAGTGTCTTGGAGGTCGAAGAAGCAAGAAAAGGTTTCTTGTAGTTCAACTGAAGCTGAATACAGTGCCATGTGTGCGCGACGAAAGAGTTGATTTGGATTGATAAGGTCTTAAATGTGGTGTTCTTCACTCTTTGTACATGCTCATCTCTATTGTGAAAACACAGCAACTCTTCACATAGCAAACAATCTCGTTTTTCATGAAAAAACTAAATATATTGTGATTGATTATCATAAAGTGAGAGAGAAGACTGAAGATGGTTTTTTAAAGCAAATATATGTGAGGATTGGAGATCAACTTGCAGATTTGTTAACAAAGGCATTCTATCTTTCACCTCCTAGGAGCTATTACACAAGATGAGTGTTCATAACATCTATAAACTCTCATATTGAGGGGGAATATCATCTTCTATTAAGTATTCCATTTTATATTGATCTACGCATTATGTTGAATTGTACCTTGGTTTGGTCTGGTTAAGAGGTACAAATACCATGTATTGTACACTTTAATCAGTCGAGAAATCAGAAATATTTTGGCAAATATCTAAATTATATTTCATTATTAGGTCGAGACAAGAACTAGGATCCCAATCGGATTTCAGCATCTATCGCAAAACCGAGCGTTCGTGATGTCATCTTCGACGTACAGAGTAGAAAAATAGAGAAAATCAGAGGTAGAAGTTGGTGTGGCGCATGTGACATGCACGGAGGATGCAGCAGTGCATGTAGCATTAGCTGAGGTGGTGGATCTGAGTTTGAACATTCCAAGCCGGTCTTAAAGGCAAATCAAGAATACATATGTTTCCACCCGCCCATAAATATAATAAAAAAAATGTTTGTCTTTTTTCTATATTAGTCCAATAGTTAAGTTAATTATTGGTACTATTTTGCATAGAAAAGGACAGGTGCATGAATCTTCCTCTTTATTTAATTGTTTTTTTCCTATTCTTTTTAAATGTGCCAATTTAATAGGTTTTTTTTTTGAAGACGTCCAATTCAATAGGTTAAAAGATTGTTTTAGCTTTTGACCCATATAATGTTAGGACCGGCACTGTGGACGCTTGCAAACTGTTCTCTCATAAGCTAAGGAAAGAGCCAAGACAGAAAAGCATGTTTGATGTCGTTTGAAGTGTATTCCTTTGACGCTTTACCAAATCATGAGTTTATTCTGGTAAATGTTTTTTATTTTTGCTAGGATGGAACCAGCCCTACGGTCAGGTAAGCAAATAAAAGAAACAATGAAAATATATTTTAAATTTTTATTTATTTTTGTTATACTTTACACTATTTTTACTACAAATTTTAGTATTTCTTATTTCTTAGAAATTATATATTTTTACTATATTAATAAATTCAAAAAAATATAAGTATTTTGGTTTGTCCACAATATCTGATTTTCTTGAATTTAATAAATTTTAATACACTTTTTGTTAAGTTTCATAATTTAAAATTTTGAAAAATAAATCCAATGTATTATCTTTTTTAAAAGAAAAATTAAGCAAGTAACATTAAAATATAATATTAATTGTTACGGTTTCATATTTATAAATATCATGTTACGTTATATAATTATATATTATTATGTATGGAAAACATATTTATGTTGTTTTTTGTGTTTCTTCAAATTCACATCAACCAAAAGAAATGAAAATAATAAATTTTGCAGTTTTATTTTTATAACCAAAAATTAGGCTAAAGAAAATAATAAAATCTACAACTATTTGATGTATTTTTAGCTATAATCTTTATTTTGTAGCATTAGATATGTCCATATAATATTATTTGAGGCCTGTTTCCGGTGTGTTTCGCTCATTTTCATTTTTACGATGGTCCATTACATAGATACCTTTAATTGACGAAAATATTGTATCTAATTTTCATTATTACAAATTATTTAATAAATCATGTGGCTAAAAAGTTTAATTTTATTTTAATATTTTTTCAAATATCATGAAAAATAAAAAGGAAATATTCAGATAATAAAAACACCAAAATTTATATTTACAAAAGGAAAAAGGTAAGAAAAATATATTTATACATAATGTGATTTCATAAAAAGTAAAGTTCATTAAAAAACAGTTTTGATGTTAAAAATATAATCATCTCTTTAAAAACATAATACTAAACTGCGTAATATATATTTTAACTTAATAAGTATTATATATATACATATATATATATCAATCTATTTTCTCATATTATTACAAAAAGTAATTTAAACAGCATATACTAAATTATCATTGATGAACTAACAAATATTTTAATTGATACTTTTGAGATGTTTAGTAATTTTTCAATAATTTTTTTTGTTATCATTTTAATTTGTCACATTCACTAATCAAATTACATAAATACAAATTCTTCAAGCTTGAATCAAACCTAATATACCACTACAAGTTCTTTAAGGCCTAATAGTTTTACTTTATTTTGATTTTTATATATTTATATCTAATATAATATACCTATAATAAGAATGCATAAAACAATAAGAAATTTTATGGTTAACATTATTTATAGTAGTTTTTAATATATATTTCTTACATCTTAAGTATAAAGTTACATACAATTCTACAAAAAAAAAAGTTTTATGAATATTGATATTCATTCATGAGTTTTCATAGTTTTATCGATAATATTTGTTTATAAAAATTCATACCTATCATCATTTTAGTTCTTATACTACTTTAAGAAAATCCAAATATATCAAATTATATAAAAACCTAAAAAATCTAAATAAAAAACTCAAACCCAAACCTCAAATAAAGCCTAATCAATAATACTTTCCAGCAAACAATAACATGACAAGTGTCATTTTTCTCAAGTAGAGAAAAAGTCTATTTTATTATATTCGATTTTTATATATTTATATTTAACATTTTTAATATCATATATAACATAATATACCTATAATAAGAATGCATAAAACAACAAAAAAATGTATGGTTAACATTATTTATAGTAGTTTTAATTTATATTTTATAAATCTCAAGTATAAAGTCACATACAATTTTACAAAAAGTTTTTTTTGCGAATTTTGATATCCATTCATGAGTTTTCATATTTTATCGATAATATTCGTTTATAAAATTCATACTTATCATCATTTTAGTCTTTATACTATTTAAAAAATCCAAATATATAAAATTATATAAAAGCCTAAAAAATTTTAATAAAAGAAAAAACTCAAACTTAAAACAAAATTCATTCAAAAATATCTTTAAACAAATGAGAGCATGACAAATGTCATTTTTTTTCCCCATTAAGATAAAAATAATCTACTTTATTATATAAGATTCTGATGTCGGGTTAGAACTTTAGCCAATTAATTAAAATTGTTTATATTTTTTCATGTACAGCAAAGAAATGACAGTGGCAACATCTTATCTCATTATCCTATCTTTTTATTTTATTTTTAATTTCCATAAAAAAAAAGAAATTATTAAAACAATTTTTTTTGGTCTAAATGTTAAAAAACTATTTATTTTATATCAATGAAAGTCATTAATATGGTTTTTCTCCGTTGTAATTACCGGGAGGATCATAGTTGCATGTAATAAAAGTACCACCACTGTTACACACGACTTTAGCACATCCCAATCGAAGGCTATTTCTCCAAACCACTTGTGTGTAATGTAGACACGTTCCACCATTTGGTTCATTACAAGTGTTGCTGTCGTAATCGAAATACCTTTTCTCGTCGATCCACATTTCCGAAGCATCGTCAGCCGACATATCTCCACTACTCCACGCTATGTTCTCTCCAAACGGTCCATTCGAATGGACCATGGCACAGTCACTTATCCTCTGATTAGCGTAGCTCGAGGCATAAGCAGCGACCTCATCGTCCCAAACCAATGGCTCTAGCCCAACCTCGTGCCGGGCTTCGTTATGGGCCTCTAAGAATTCTTGTTTCCAGTCTTGGGATAAACATGGAAAAATGAAGTTACAAGAAAGAGCGATTACAAAGAGAAATAAGATGATGGGTTTGAGTCTTTTGACTAGAGGCATTGTTCATTAGAAGTTGATTTACGTGATGGTGATGAACTTTAGGAGTTAATAGAAGTATTTATATTTTAAATTTTGGTATAGTTAACAACTTTGGTTAGTAACAAAGGAAACAAATTGCTGTTATTGTTTCCGAAACTATAATAGGACCGTGGACCGTATTTACTCTATAAAAGAAAGATAACTAGTCAACGGTACATGATTCTATTCTTAGTATTCATTGGATTTTACTATTTTGGGGGATTTTGCATTTTATGTTACAAGTATCTCTTGATAATGATTGAAATTTTGAGTTTTTATATTTTCTTATTGTGGAAAATGATCACAGATTAAAATTCAATTTTCAGTTCAGTTCGATTTTTAGTGATATATTCCTTTTATTTTATGACAGCATAGTTATCTTCCGTTGGTTCTTATCTATATGGAGTAGATGTTTGAACCAAGTTTGGTTGGACTCCAGTAAGAAAGACGAAACTTGTCAGTGGACTAGTTCGAAGGCGATTTATTAAATCGGAGGTTATTTGTCGGTTTATAAATAAGAAAACAGACAGTGAAAGTAAGCCGGTGCTCGTTGAGTTAGCCGGAAAAGTACAAGTCGGCATAATACAAGATGAATAAAATATTAATTTTAGCCGCCAAGTATGTGTGTCGATTTTTGGATCCCCTTTCCACTCCCCTTCCATCTCTTTATATTGACGTTCGTCCCTTTGATACCCTAGGTCGGCCTGTTTTAATGGATCTTTACTTGTAGGGCCGACTTGCCAGGTCGATGAGGCGAGCTGCCAGACCGTAAGCCTTTAGTCGTCTCCATTCGTTGGCTAAAAGCAGTTGTGCCAAGCCGATGCGCTTACTCGGCACTGCGATTGGCTGAGCTGATGCATTAAGCCTAATGGGCCGGACCTACTATCTGATGGGCCCTATAGAAGGATGCAATCCACCTCCTACAATAAGTCCCCTCCTCCCTAGTTCACTTGTGAGTGCCGTAGCCAATCTGAGTGAATTTGTGGATTGGGTCTGTAAGATAGTCAGTCTGGCGCTAGGGGATATACCGCCTATTCGAACAGTTGGTTGAAACAATTTGTGTGCCTTCTCGAGTGGATTTTAGTTGATTTGTTAGTGTACAGTATCTTATGGGGCCTGGTGCACAATACTGGTTGTTTGTTCTTCAGTATTCGCTGGTCGGTTGGTACGAAAGAGTTGGCATCGGGCTGTTGAAGGATTGTTGACGTGCTTAACATGGGGAGCGAGTATGGTGGCTAGGGCGGAGAGCTGCTCATTTTTCATCCTCTGCGCCTCCTCTTGTTGGGCGAGGCGAGCCATGACGGTGTTCATGAAATCTGGCTCGACCGGAGTAGGGTTGGGTAGGTAGCCGGAAGGTGTTTCTTTGGGAATCATGAGTGTAATGCTACTTTGTCTATGCTCCACGGTGGGCACCAACTGTATGAACCGAGTTTGGTTGGATTCCAGTAAGAGAGATGAAACTCATCGGTGGGTTAGTTTGAAGGCATTTTATTAAACCGAAGATTGTTTGTCGGTTTACAAATAAGGAAACAAATGGTGGAAGTAAGCCGGTTATCCTTGAGCTAGCCGGAAAAGTACAAATCGGAGGAATACAAGATGAATAACCCTAATTCTAGTCGCCAAGTATGTGTGTCAATTTTTGGATCCCTTTTCCGTTCCTCTTCCATCTTCTTATATATACGCTCATCCCTTTGTTGCCGTACGTCAGGCCTGTTTTAATGGGCCTTTACTTGTAGGTCCAATTTTCTAGGGCGACAAGGCGATCTGCCGAGCCGTAAGCCTTTAATCGTCTATGGTCATCGGCTAAAGCCAGTCTTGAGCCGAGCCGGTGCACATACTCGGAACCACGATGGGCTGAGCTGATGCCTTAAGTCTAATGGGCCAGACCTATTATATGATGGACCATGTGGAGAGATGCAATCCATCTCATATAGTATGCATGGGCATTGCATATATGTTCGGGTTCAGTTCAAGTTTTGGGTCTTTCTGTTTTCCAATATAAAGATTCAATCGGGTATCAAATTCCTGATGAGATTCAATTCAGATCAACCCGGATTCAGGTGAGTTCGGTTCTGAGTTTCAATAACCGTAAAATAAACAAATAATCAATTTATTTGAAATTATTTTGGTTAAATTTATCCAAAATAACTGTTTGATTCCAAATAGTAACCGATATAACAGATGAAAAAACTACTTAAATAAATACTTCAATAAAAAAGTTTCATTTCTAAAAGGGGCAACCCATACACCGATGATTGAAAGCGGTTTAGTTTCTGTGCGAATGAAATACAAACATCAAAAGACCAAATAACAGAAAATAAGTCAAAGAACAATTGACCAACAACAAAAAAAAACTAAGATTTTTCAAAGCCTCCATTCAGTCCATTGCTCCCATAATAACCATCAGTTTGATTCAATTTTCTTGTTGCTTAGGTACCGTAGTTATAAACAAAAACTTAGCAAATATGAAGAGATTTTACTTATAAGTTATAAGTAAGATATATACCTTGTTTGAGATTTTTTTTAATATATATGTTAATAATTTCTTCTCCGAAAGGAGTGTCGGTACAAATCGCCGCTCCGGTACACCATAGAAACAGAAAGAACTAGGTTACAGAGAACAATCAAAACAAACACTAAACAATCAGATCTATGACAAAAAAAAAAAGAAGAACAAATCGATCAGGAAAGAAGACCAGTGATTCACTCCTCTGATGTGAACACCGGTGATTCACTCCTCTGATTATCCGCAACTCACAACCTCCCGGTGTCAAAGGACAGATTGTTGTTCCGTCCACGGTATATCTACAGGAGAATCACCATTGGAGGTTTCTTGTGGCTACAAACGCCAAAACCTCCGAAGAGATCTGACTCCCGAAACCCTAGCTGCCTCCTCCCGAAAATTTGTTCCATTGTCAACACTTCATACTCTTTTCAAGCTTCGAACTGTCTGCAGATTTGAAGATGTTTCTGCAGATTGAATGTGCCACAAATAGGTGGACAATCAAAAGTCTTCTTGTAATAGTGAAATATGCATTTGTCACCATTGGCTTCCATCCTTGTCTAGTGCTCCCCAACAGTGGATGTGAGCTAAGTATCATCCAACAAATAACAGTACACTGAACCAGAAATATGAAATTAGACATCAGATCTTCGTTAATACAAATCAAATAAAAGACCAAAAACATGCGATTGAAAGAAAACTGAAATTAGGGTTTTGGATTGCAAACCTTAGATCGGCTTCTTGAGTTCTTGATGTTGATAAAGATGGAACTGCATCGATCAAGGTTCTCCATTTATAGTGAATCAGAAATAAGGGTTTTGGTTTGGATTGTAGAATTCAAGAGACAGTGAAGGATCAAAGTTGAAGAGACGAAAGAATAAAGGCAATATACAGCTTTTAGGTACTGGAAATAACAATAATTAGCTTTTGACCTGTGTGCCCGCGTGGATGTTTGTTCTTCATAATCATATGTTTTTAGTTTTTGATAAATATAATTGTTTACATTTATAACGCCAGAATTTCATATGTTATTAAGGTATGGTATGAGTGTGTAATGTTCAATGTGATTAGCTTTCACTTATAAACTATGTGACTGTTTTTTCTGTTATTGTGCGGGTGTTTGTTTATGATAATTACATTTTTAAAAGACAAAAATTTAATGGTTTCATTTAATGGTTTAATTTTGTGCTACTTTAGTTATTGTTCATACCATATATTTTGTTCTTGTATTGTGTTATATATTAAAAATTATTTTGAATAAACACAAAATATTTCATTTATGTAGGTGTATCACAAAAAAATTGTAACTATATATGTATTAATATACAGTGTTGATATATTTTTTTCAAAAATAGATTGTATTAATTTAAAATTATATCTATCTGTTATGTCATATATGTGTTTATATTTACTTTTACCACATAATTAAAAAACAAAGATAAATTCTAAATAAAGGTTAAAACCAGTCTGCATAATCAAAACTAATATAGTTTGATAATTTGACTATATTATCTGACATTTATGTACATTGTATTGATTGGGTTACATTTAAGAAATCACTGAATTAACATTGTCTACATTAAATCGATTCATGTTTTGTTTTAAAATTCTGATTAATTGTTTTGTTTGTTATAGGTTAGCATGAGTAACGGTTTTGAATAATATAATGTTTAGGCTGGTTAAATTTAATAGTTCAAGTAGGCTATTGAAAATTTGGTTGTGTTAATATATGAGCTTGTGAAATTTTGGTAAATTAATGTATGAAACTATTGTGTTTTGATTAGCGGCAAGGATCCATAATTATTGTGAGAAATTTAAGGTTAAGTACTAATACTTCTATTTTAATAGTTTAGATGATGGGAAAAACACAGCCATTTAAAGTTTCAGGAATAGTTGGTACTCAATTGGATACCGGTTACTAACCTACCCGATCTGAAACCCGAAACAAGGTGAAGAAAAACTTATTCAGGTATTTTAACAGTGCCGAATACATCCGAACCCGTTTTTGGGCTGATTGTTATCACCTAGTCATCACAAGTCATCTCAGTTTGGTTGAAAATATGGTAACCCATATACAAAACATGGAAGTTTAGTTAACTAAACCCTCTAGCCCAAAAGCATTAATTCTTCGCTTCATATCTAAGTTTACAAATTATAATAATAATTTATATATGTTAATAGATTATTATAATGATTTGATAACCCAATTAGAAAAAGTAATAGTTATGTTTCAGTAATCCAATAAAAGAAATAACAATTATGTTTTTTTATACCTTCTATTTTATTAAATCAACAAGATAGTACATAATCTTCATGTAGAAGATTTGTTATTGAAATGGGTACCTAGGTATGAAAAACAAATTTTTCTGTTGATGAAATTATCTTTGCTTACTTATCAGCAACCTTGTTAGCTCATCACCTTGTCCATTGAAAATGTATCGCTTCAAACTTGTTGCACCACCATCTAATTTTCCGAGTC